CCTTGATCCGAGTGGTTAGTCAACATACTGAGAGGAGCAACATAAGAAGAGACGTGGGTTCAATTCTCAACAGATTCTGATCTCTCAATCATTACTTAGGAATATTTTAGATACGACAAAAATCCGCACAATACTCTCTGGGGCCGTTCACTTATGAAGTCCAAAATTTAGGGGGGGAGGGGGGTCTAGGATTTTGTGACAGTTCAAACAATGGAAATTTTTTTCTCTAGAATTTTTGTGACAGAGGGGGGGGGGTCTAAAAAATCAGGTTTTTTGATAGACGTCATAAGTAAACGACCCCTCAGCATTACATGTTAGAATCTATAGATTTGAAATTTCTGATTACAACTTAGCTGAACCCCTGATATAGCTACCACAACCTCACTTTTGTAATCTATTTTAGCAGCCGATATATTTCTTGAAAAGCACTGCACATCATAAACAAGTATATTAAGGATCATAAAATTCATACATACATAGTCATATTTATTGGATTTCATGCTTCGTTCAGTATTTCTAGTTGAAATGAGAAAATTCATTTTCCCAAAACGTAAATCACCGAAAAAAAAAATTATTTACAACCTTGGATAGATTTCTTCTTCCTCAATTCACTTCTTTATCTACTCATATGTTTGTTGTATTGAAATTTGATCAATATTTGTATTGAGTCAGTCAATATATTATTTTTGGAAAAATAAAGTTTTTTTTTCTGTATAAACATTCAATCATCAATCAAGTATATATGTAGTGAAATCATTAAGTCAAAATTGTTTGTCTAATAAAATAGACTCAATAGCCTCATATCAAAGTAAGAAAATTAAATTCTTCGTATAACACCTGAAGTTATAAAAGTCATGTTGAGAGCTTTAAACCCTTTTCAAAGTTTCGAATCACATCAAGTGTAGACTTTTACATAATGTAAAGGGACGGAATCTTCATCAACACACCAGCTGTGCAGCATTACATATGGGTTAGAAAAGAAATAAGATGTGAGGAAGTCGCCGTTTAAACAATTTAGTAAATTGGCTTTTATGTAGAAATGTGTGTATTTATACCGTACGCAAGAAGACCTTTCAACTTCTTTTTCTATTTTTTTCACACATATTTTGCCCCCAAGGGGATACTCAAATCACAACTTTTCGACTGTCTGCTTTGAAGCTGTGGATATAACATGAGAAATATTTTTTCCTTTTCCTCTGTATCCAAATTGAGCCTTACAATTTGCATAATTTTATGTGAATTTTTTTTTTGCCTCGTTTTCTCTCAACTGAGATTTGTATGCATCTTATATATTTAAAGACTGAAAAAGAAAATTGCTATCGATACACATAAATTTAATTTTGCTGATAACGCACGATGATTTGTTGAGAGATATTTTTTTTGCCTTATTTCCTGCTGCTTTTTATTGCGATCTTGTGATAAATGATGTAAATTTGAGAAATATTGCTGGGATATGCTTATTAGAGTTATAGGATTATTTTTGGTTAAATTTGAGATTTTTTGACTCTTTTGGATTTTATTGGTGTTTATCTAGGAAACAATAAAGGGGTCATTCATTTATGACGTTAGGGGGAGGAGGGTCTAAGATTTTGTAACAGTTCGAAGAAAGGACTTTTTTTCATATATATATATATATATATATTGTGACAGAGGGGGGATGGGGGTCCATAGGATTTTGTACGAGGCTTCTCTTATTTTCCATAACGCCTAGGGTTGGACTTACCCCCTCCCTCTCATAATGAAAGCATTGAAGCAATATAGGTATTGAATTTACTCGGTTAATTACTAGAGAAAAGTTGAGTCGGCTCGGTTTTGAGTCGACAGAAAGTAGCCAAAGATGAGACGTGTTTCAACTGACAAAATATGGTTTAGGATCATCAATCAACATAAAATTAAAAGTGGTCGATCATCTAAGGGTTCGTTCACTTTTAACGTCCAATCATTTTTCAATAAAAAAACATTGTATTTCCAGGAATTTATATTATTCCCTTCTGGAGGGGTCACCCTCCCCTCCTAGACGTCATAAGTGAACAGAACATTGGAATTCTATCATAGGTGACTTGGGATGGTCTAACAGATCATTGCTATAAGCAAAACTCTACATCACATTGTATTCTAATGAGGGGGGGGGGGGGGGTTACTTTTATTAAATTAAGGACTCAAAACCTTTGCTTTCAATAATTTAATTTTATTAAATAACACCAGAAAACCAATTGTATTCCAACTCAAACACGTGTACAGAAATCCTCAAGTATCTCCAACTCCAGCATTCAATTCAAACTTTTCAATTAAAACCACGAAAAATAACCTTCAAAAAAAAATTTGATTTTCTGCGGTTCTCATGAACAAAAAATGAGGAAAAGGGAAGTTTTTTTTTTAAAAAAAAATGTTCATTGAAAATGAAAATAAATATTTTTTTTCGGTTAAACACGCATAAATATTATCACAACATACCAACGAGGCAGGCATCTGAAAAACAAGGGTTTTGTTTACGACTTTTAATTAAAAATAATTTTCAGCCATAAATTGAAAACAATGAAACGAAAGTGAATGGAAAGCGTGAATTTGAAAAACAGAAAAGAGAGTTAGCAGTGGGAAGATGAAAAAAAAATCAGCAACAGAGAGTTTGGGAAGGAAAAAGGAAATTTAACCAAAAAAGCCAAAATAAAAAAAAGTTTTGCTCTCGACAAATACTCAACAGAGTTGTGATTTATTTTAAGGATGGGAGGAACAGCAAAGAAGAAAAAATATTTTTTGAAGCTCCGATCCCTTTTTCTGTTTCAGATTCTATTTATTTTGCAGCTGTAGTTGCTCAATAGAGGAGAAAAATGAAAAAGTTTTTTTTCTCAACTGCGTTTTTCCGGGTCATGTTTAATTGTTTTTATTAGCTTAATTTCTCTCAAGAGCTCATTTTCATAGCTTTTTATTTATTATATATTTCAAATTATTAGAATTAATAATTTATGAACGTTGTTAATAAATTGCCACTTCAGTAAAGTATTTTGATCCCTCTGACTTCTCAATTAGACGAGAGAAAAAAAATAATAATGCTTTTAATTAGGAAGGAAAATGGAAAATTTAATTAACCGCAATATTAAATCTTGTTATTTTTAATACTTTGTGAGTTCCTCAAAAACCTCTTCTAAAATTTTTTCCTCTTGATGTGGTTTCATCAGCCTTCTATCTTGAGCATCTTCTCCCTAATTTTAATTACGGTTGAAAATTCTCCTGTAAAAGTTTCTACTTCTCTTTTTACAGGATAATTATATGAATAGAATAATTTTCTCCTTCACATCCTTAATTCGTGTTTCTTGTTAAAGCTTTAAATAATTAACATGTTGATGTTTCGTGAAAATTATATGTTTTAGTTGTTGTAGGAACATGTTACCTATTTTACCATGCGTTACACTAATGCTCAAGACTATGAGCTTATAAACTATTACTGTGAAATTGGGATTATCCCTCTATTAAGGTTTGCTAGATTTATGTCGTTGTAAATTATTTGTAAAAATAATAATTCATTCTCTTAAATTTTAAACATATGCTTATAGTTTGTGGAGTCAACCAGCTATTGCCTCAGTCTAAACTCACTCGCTTGACCTTCTTAATAAGTTGTGTCCGATATTTTTGGACGACAGTATAGTTTGGTGGTAAGCCATGAACAAAACCGCACACTGTTTACGGTTTGTGAGATTTTCTTTTTTTTTCGCGCCAAACTAGTGTGTTGCGACACATGGGTTGGACATCACTGTTCAAAATACATATCACACCAGTTAAAGCGTAAGGATATAAATTAGTATCAGTTTCTATAAATCAATTTCTTGTCATACAAAGAATCTGATAGCTTTTATGGGGCTTTTCATAAATGACGTTTATCGAAAAATGAGAATTTTAGACCTTCTCTACAAACTCGCCTCAGATTTTGACTTAACAATTAATTATATTATTATATTATTATATTATTATATTATTATATTATTATATTATTATATTATTATATTATTATATTATTATATTATTATATTATTATATTATTATATTATTATATTATTATATTATTATATTATTATATTATTATATTATTATATTATTATATTATTATATTATTATATTATTATATTATTATATTATTATATTATTATATTATTATATTATTATATTATTATATTATTATATTATTATATTATTATATTATTATATTATTATATTATTATATTATTATATTATTATATTATTATATTATTTTATTGATTATGTATCAAAATTACTATGAGGAAACATAGAAATGCCCCCCCCCCCCTCCAAATCTTTCTTTCCCCTCCAAATCTTTTCAAGAGTCTCCCTCCCTGAATAGCTAAATGATGACGTCATTTCCAAACGGTCTCTACTTGGTCGACAATAAAATGGGTATTATATGGATAAAGTAAAACTCATTTAGCTTCTCCATCATTACATTGTCTTAAACTTATAAGCAATAATCAGCACTTCCATTCTGTAGATAAATTTCAATTCTCATTTAGCATGTTTCAAGAATATTAAACCAAACAAATCTCCACATCCCTATAAATAAGATTAAATCATTTTGATCATTCAGATTTGAGAAGTAAAATTCATCTCAACCCAAGTTTATTAGAGTTTTGTGTCAGACAACCATAAAACCGCACCACTCATTTCCACCACAGTCATGATTTCTATCTCTTCATTCCCCATATTTTCTCATGAATTTTTAATGACAATCTGTATCGTAAACATTTAATAATTCAGCTTTAACCCAGTCAAATGTACAAGATTATTTTCTTCTGTAGATTAAAATTGCGTCTTAATCTGGCAATAAAGCAAAAAAAAAAATATGTTCTCTCATCGTCGCCGTCGTCTTTATTAAAGGGTGTGTTTAATTAACAAAGCAATAAAGAATATCGTAAAGATAAATGAACTATCTTTTTTGATAAACCACCGACACAGACGAAGAAAATAAACGTAAAAAAATTTTTTACACTCACCTGATAATGACTGTGATGAGCCTTGAAGGCGCTGTGGGTTTGCAATGTATATGAGAAATATTAACAAATTTTTTACACCCATTGCCGATGATGACAAGTCTTGATAGGGTATGGAAACAATCTTCTCGTTTTACTTCACTTTTACTTAACTACTATTTAATGATCAAACTTTTTTTTTTCACCATCCACCAAGTGCAAGCTGTAAAATTTTATCTTTCCTCGTCTTCTTTGTGACACTTTTTACATATTTTCGTACACAATTTATAAAGTTTCAAACTCATTTTCTTCACTCAATCTGACTTTTTTATTTATTTTTTTTTCACTTCCAGCTGCTTCATAAAATTTCATTAATAAATTCCTTTGGCTTTAAATTTTGACATAATCACACATTATCCTCGATGAATAACTTAATAGAGAATTTTTCACCCACTTCCTTCATCCAATGATGCCAGAATTTATGTCAGTTGAGGCTGCAAAAAAAATGAGAGGAAATTAGATATAAACATCTAGAAGTGAAAAATTTGTCATCAGTGCTTTTGGCATTAATGCAAATATTTTTTATTTCTTCTCTTTCTTCTTCTTCTTTTTTCTCAGCAATGGGAATGTCAAGTGATTTGCTAGTTTTGAAATTCATACCGTATTACGGTTTTTGCTACAGTGGTGAACCAAGGGACGGGGTTCTAGCCTGTATATTCTATAATAACCCTTGCTACACCACTGCCATGCTTATATAGAATGAAAGTTGAAAATTATCTTTCTCCTTGAGAAATTGCAATTTCCGTTTGCATTCTCAGGATGAACACATTTGTAGGAAGGATGGCAAGCAAGCAAAAAAAAAATTGTCACATCAAGAACCGATAATGCATTTTATGTTTATAATGTGACATGAAAGATAAATAGATTTTAAGTTGATACTTTGAAATGCTACATTATGTACATAGATAAATGTATATTTGCCATTCATTCGTGGTAAGGTTAAATAATGATTGATTCTAGCTAAAGATATAGATTAATGTTGTTGTATGGAACAGATGTCTTCGTGACGATTTAGAGTATTGAGATGAATGTTCCTGATATCAATTTTGTTATAGAATTACTTTTAAGCATTTACAGCTTTAAATTGTACAATTTTTTGATTAAATGAGGTCAATACTGCTTCTTTGCAGCTTAAGGTTCATGGTAAATTTTACAACATTGCAAAGTTGACAGGCTCGTAGCCAGCGGGATTTAGTGGGCTTATTAAAATATTCAAAAAATCTCCTATTCAAAATTTTTTTATACAAATTCTATTGTCCCCTGCATCAAATTCCTGGCTACAACACTGAACGTTTATTTCAGCCAATTTTCCTCAATCCTTAAAATAACACTCCACATTCAATCCATATTGACTTCTCCTCATTTTGACAAATTAAAATCAAAACAGACATCTCACAAAGTGGTTTTGCTATCAAAACATGTATTTTGAATTAGTAAAACAACACAAATTTGTTATCACATCAAAGATTTATTTTCGAGAACAAAATTAAGAACAAATATTTGGAATCATTTTCACATCTTTCCATTAACAGATAATATCGTACAAATGACATGAACAATTTCGATAAATATGTGTTTAATGTTGTTAAGGAAATAAATGGAATCTTAACTCGGTTTGTTGTTTTTAGTAGGAATATTATTTGAAATATATCGGTACAAATAAAACAATTTAAGACAAATGGGGGTTTGATATTGTCAATGATATTGTTTTGAGGAAGTTTAAAATGTACAAAGTCTAAGAATCGAATATAATTATATCTCAAATAATGCATCCTTAAATGTAGAACTTGAAAACAGGGTTGATGAAAGGTAAAAATCTGAATTATAAGAGGTCGCAAACTTATTACGTCCATCATTTAAGTGCGTTCTGAAAGTTTATTAAATTCAAAATTAATTATGTTGAACATATTTAACGATGGACGGACCAAGGCGTGAAAACTCCAGGTTTTAAGTAGCATTTTTGAGATTTTTTAAGGATTTTTCAGGAATTTTCGGGATTTTGCAGGATTTATCTCGAAAATCCTGAGTTTCCACGCCTTGGGAATAACACCTTAGACCAGTGTTGTCCAAACAAACACATTGATGTGCCCTAGAAATTTTTCGGAAATGACTCAAGCCACATGATGTGTGTGACTTTGGTCATGATTTAATCCATGACTTACATGGTGTGGACAACTCTGCCTTAGACAAGGCACAAATTTCAGAAAACTTGAAACGGCACGATAAAAGGAATTAGAGGAACTTCCAGTAACCAACCTAATAGAAAAGACAATTCTGAACAATGGATCTCAAGGAGTAGGACTTGAACTCATGTTTCTTCAATTTCTGGTCATATGATTCAATGATTGAATTTCAATCATTCTAGATTTTCTACAGTATTTGACAATATGATCAATAATGAAATATTATAAACTTCACTATTCCTTGCTTCCCTCAGAGGTCGAAGACAGTGAAGTGAATTCAATTGACTCGAGTAAACTTGAAACCGAAGAAATTTAAAGTGAAGTGAACTGAGTTCAACCTCTGGTTTCCCTTACCCTACGATAGTTTATCAATACAAATATCATTTAAATTTCAACCCAATTCCAACAAACTGTTCTCCAAAATGTGCAAAAACCAGCACAAAATTATCACAAAGACTCAACAATCAACGTTGATGAAGATGTTCATGTCAGAGTGAGCTTCATTGAGTTTGCAAAATTTGATTCAGTTGTTTAATTTTGTCGACATGCGGTCAAGTTATTTCCAGACATAAATGAAATATTTCATTCTCCCAGTCATAGACTTCTGTGTAAAAAAATTATTCTATAAATCTTTCATTTTCTCTCTTTGTTACTTAATCTCTAAATGCTTTCTTTTTTGTAGTATTGTGGAACAGGTGACGCTCAAATTAGTCCTATTAAGAAAGTTAAATTCCAACCTTTTGCGCCAAGTCAAGTCGAGGTGGCGGAAGGTAAGAAGTAGAAAGGAAGGAAAAAAATAAAATTTATGTCCATAAAAAGCCGTAAAAGGAAGAAAGAGAAAATTAATAAATCTAAATCAACATGTTTGATCGGCAATAAGATTTACGAAAACAAATTTTTCTAATTTTTTTGTTTCCAAATTACTTTTTCTCCTTCCTTTTCCTTTACTATTGCTCTTCGTCTCCATAATATTAAATTTCGTTTCCTTTTTTCACCTTTTTCATAGTAAAACAAAAAGAAACATCACCGTTGAAAATTAAAGTACCCGAATCCGTAACAAATTTTTGCGATTTCAACTGTAAAAATGCGACATAAAACAATTCAAATAATAATACAGCAAAAAAAATTATAATAAAGTTATCAAATAAATTTTAACTTTTTTTTCGTTTCCGCATTTTAAAACCCGCTCAGCCTTGAATGGAACGGTGAAGGCAGTCACTAAAGTAAAGAAAATAAATTACTAAGCTTCTCTTTGGCTTTTTTCCTCTGCCTCATCTTGACTGTTGTTTTATAAAAAAAAACTTTTTTAACTTCTCGATATGATGACATGGGTTGAATTTTTAGCTCCCTTATTTCTTTGAGTTTAATATGAAATTTATTTGGTTCATATAAGCTCTTGAAATGAAATAGGTGAGATTGAGAAAATTTCTATAGAAAAATAAAAGTTTTTCAATTTATAGGCAATGTTAGCGAGTTGTAATAAGAAGATTATATTCTGGTGAATAATATACACGATCATTAATGTTATAGATATTTTTTGTTCGATCCTTAATTTATGGATATTGTTGAATTAATTTTTAAAAACACTTACAGGATGTTTTTAGAGGTAATTTTGGAGGGGCTGGAAAATTACGAGGGTGCCCTTGAAAAATTATGTTTGTGTAGCCAATTGGGTGTTTGGCTCTTTGATTATATTTAAACAAAGGAACAAAGTCTTAACTAATGTGAGATTTAAACAAAATCCTACATAAAAGGATCTCAAACTTCTATTCAAATTATATAACCATTCGATCATTTAGGAGCCATTTACTTATTACGCGACAGGCAGCAATGTCATCAAAAGAGTGGTTTGAATGCCACAATAAACTGTAGGTTTACATCCCCCCCCCCCCCCCTACTTATCATTCTTCTTAAAACCGTTGGCAATGAATGAATGGCTCTTCAGCTACTTGCAAGCAGGGTGGGGAGAATTTAGTGAATTAAATCACAATTCATAAATCAAAATGTGAATTTGATTTAAAATCTCATTAAAAAATGAGTTGAGTTTTGAGTTTGAGTTTTTTTCTTTGAAAATTGAGTTTTGAGTTTTAGAACAAAATTCAAACTCATTACGAAATGAGTTGAGTTTTGAGTTGGAATTTTAAACTCAAACCAAACTCACTGTGTTAAAAAAAATTCTTCATGAAATTTCCAAACAATATATGAAAATTATCCCTTTTGCCTTCAAGTTCCTTATGAAAATTCATTCTGGATTATTTGCTGATTTAATTGGATCTTTTGGTTCCAAAAGCTTTGGAATCAAGATTATAGCAAGCAATGCTTTTCAGAGTTTTCGAGCGAGAAAATCTTTTTAATGATTATTTTGTTGACTGCGCCTTTATGCTTACATAATATGAAGCATACGTAGCTGGACATGATTGAGCATTACTGGATGTGGCTGTATATAAGGAACTGAATCCTCCCATTGCTATAAAAACTTTTTCTGCATGATTTTTATTCACAAGTGTTTCGTGATGTTGATATTCGCCTTGAGCATGGATAGGCACTGGAACTACCCGGTTCCGTTACATCCACAAAAATTTTTTTTGTTCCTTTTTCATCAAGGAATCACCTCTGAAAGTTAAAATTTTTTTTGCGGAACTAGCCGGTTCCTTTGGTACCCGACTATTGGAAGTACCTTAATATGATGCTTTATGCTTTAGTGACTTCATATTAAGAATTTGGAACCATCAGGCACCAAAGGAACCGGCTAGTTCCGCAAAAAAAATTTTAACTTTCAGAGGTGATTCCTTGATGAAAAAGGAACAAAAAAAATTTTTGTGGATGTAACGGAACCGGGTAGTTCCAGTGCCTATCCATGCTCAAGGCGAATATCAACATCACGAAACACTTGTCAATAAAAATCATGCAGAAAAAGTTTTTATAGCAATGGGAGGATTCAGTTCCTTATATACAGCCACATCCAGTAATGCTCAATCATGTCCAGCTACGTAGGCTTCATATTATGTAAGCATAAAGGCGCAGTCAACAAAATAATCATTAAAAAGATTTTCTCGCTCGAAAACTCTGAAAAGCATTGCTTGCTATAATCTTGATTCCAAAGCTTTTGGAAC